GCGTGTATGCACGCTCTGCAACCGTCTTCGATTCCATCCATTAGCCACTCGTAGGGAACTATTTGACTAAGTGCATTGTTTTAAGATTTAAAAAATAAAGAATATTTTATATTTTCCTTTACAAAGCTATATTTAATTATAATTTTCTTTAAAAGTATATTCGTACAATTGAAGAATATTTTGTACCAGGTATGTACCGGTACATCCACCACACATTTTATTTCACCGAGTAAGTTTTTATTATTTTATTTTTAATTGTAGCCCTTATATCGTGGTTAGCGATTCGGAATGTAATTGTGATATTAAAAATACATTTAGAGAAGTTTACGATTTTTACTGGCTTATCGAACAAACGAATACGCATAGGCCCTAGGCCATCACTGACGCGCTATTGACTGATTGCCCCTGGATGTCGGCTTCTTACAGAAACACAGCTTCCCTATCATCAAATGTCACGGCACGCCACTGATGGTTCGTATAATAAAGTATATTGATAAATTTATTTAGTTTTGAAATGCAAAATTAAAGAAGAAATTTGGAGATTTTTTTAAAATAAGACGCTTAGTTTTCTACATTTACATGCGCTTTTACATTACACAAACTGCAAACAGGAGCTCAAACATTTTTATAAATTAAAATTGGATGAAGACAAAAGAAAATCATTCTCGCGAACTTTACATATTATGTTAAATAAACCTTCAAAAGTACTTGCAAGAGATAAGAAAGTTCCTAAATAAAAGAAGTTATTATGTATATAAACTAAATTTAATTATTTTTATAGAGAATTTAGGGAAACCCGGGGCGGAATGGGGTAGCTAACGAAGAAGTTAAAATTATGTCAACAATAAAAGAAAAATAACAAAAATATTACATTATATCCTTTATTTATTATATTTGGCACATAATTATTTAAATTAGATTTTAAAAAATCAATAATTTTGTATGAAAAATAAATCATTTAAATAAAACTTGCCCACATCCCGTTCCGCCCCTCACTCGGGGTATGAGATTAGTGCTCAAATATTAGAAAAAATATATATATATTAGTCTTGTTGCTTACAAAAATCGCAAACCAGCAAGGAATCGCCATCGTCGCTGTCAAAACCCGCACAAGTCACATGAGCCCATTTTTTGCATGCGACATATGAACATTAACCCTCAATCGACTGTGAATAAGCTCGGTGCAGTAAAGGCAAGTCGTATCATCATCTTTTTCCGAGTAATCGTCCCCTTGTTCTTTTTTACTAAACTTTGTTTTTTCCCTTCTATATCGATTTTATTATTAAAGCAATAATAGAAGAAAATCTTCAAAGTAATTTCTGTTTATTACCTTTCTTTTTTTTTTAATCAAAAACGTGATAATAGAAAATACTTTCTAAAATGATCAAACTAATATTTAAAGTTTTTTTGGGGGGCAAAATAAAATTGAAGTTTTTGTTCTAAAAGCAACTTCAATATACTTTTACAGCTGTTACAAAACATTCCAGATCGTTCGTTATTAAATGATATCTGTCCAAATAGTTCTAAAGGATACGAAAACAATATTTTTCATTCACGATATTCTTCGATACAAGATATAGGCTACTTTTTCACATGATCTACGAATATAAATGATACTAAAAAGAAAAAGAAAAAAAAAAACTTTCAACGAGTTTTCAACATATATTATTATTTTTCCTTTTTTTATATTTTTCCATTTAAAAAATTATAAATTACTTTTGAATGTAGTGAGGTCATACATTCTGTACATGATAAATTTTATTCATTTTCAAATTGATACATTAAATATATCCAATATTATTATTATTATTTATTTTTCAAATTATTTTAATATCCGTTTGATAGCCACTTTGTTATTACAAAGAGGTTATCAAACAGATAACATTCTTTTCTAGATTGATTAAACACTACTTTCAGACTAATAATTTTATTAAATCTGATAAAAATTTACTATTTATTATGTTAGATAGAAATACTGATAAGATTTAAATCTGTTCGATAGTCACAGAATGTATTATTGCTTTACTAAAATATAGAATTTATCGTCAGAAAAAATGTGAAATTCCTTAAGACGTTTATAGGAGTTAGGAAGAAATGATCTAAAATCTTAAATATCAGAGATGAACATTGTTTAAAGAATTGTAAAAAATCATAAATAAAACTTTCCATCTATTATGCAAATCATTCTGAAAGGCTCACCATGTTCATATCAATACCATTAGTATATGTCCAAGCATGCTGAAAATATTCTTCTAATCTCTGTCTTAATGGATTAGGAATTTGATGAAACCTGATGAATTCTTTTACTCGTAATAATTGAGTGTGATATCTTGCTGTTCCAGAATACAATCTCTGTATAATTGCAGAAACATTTCCAAAAATGCTAGCATACATGAGTGCTATTTAAGAAAAAAATCAAATTTAAATTTAATTTATACGATAATGAAAATTTCAAGTAAAATAATAGATGTTATTGAATCATATTAACGATATAAATTTGTTAATTGATCTGTATAACTAAAGTAAAATTTATAACTAAATACATAAATATAAATAAATTAGAATTAGTACAAATAATTGTTAAACTATTGCTAAAATTTTCATGGATTATAATATTTGTGGAATTTGTAAGTCTGCTCTATCAATAACAATAATAAATTTAATAAAAGCGAAGTTATTTTTATTAGTAAACTCTGTACAATGCTATGCTAATTAGCGATTTTAAGCAGTGATTTATAATTTAATTAACGTTAGATATACAATTATAGCTGATTATCTGTACATTAAAACAGATTTACACACCTTATGTTTTATGTATTGGGACCGAAATTTAACATATTTGAATTTTTAGTGTTTAAAATTAAAGTTGCAATAAAAATCTTTGGATTCAATTAAATTACCAGAACTGAATGAAATTTACGAAATAAAACAACAAATAAAATTAATTTAATTACTATATTTCAATGATCAGAGCATAAAATTAGCATTTAATAATAATTCCGAGTAAAATTTAATATTTTAATTTCAATATAATTACAGTGAATATGATAATTTAGATAATACATTATTAATTTGAATTGCATCAAAAATATCTTATTAGTAATAGCATTTATTTTTAATTTTATTCACAGTTATATAATAATGAAATAGTCTACAGCCTTCTAAGTAATTTCATGTAAAGTAAACAAAAAATTAATTAATATTTAGTAACGTATACTAGACTATCATCGATTTTTATAAAAAGAAATGGACTACAATTGCAATTAGCCATTGTATTATTATCACTATACTATACTGTACTTGCTATTACATGTTTGAAAACTGGTTTTCAATTAATAGAATATAAAGAAAACATTATCTTTTCTAAAATATTTAACAGTACATTACAAGCTTGTTAATCCAGCCGTTTGATAGTTCGACACGTCCAGTAATCCGATACTAATCGACTTGCGGGTATTACCGGCACTATTGCCAAGTCGTAAACAAACTTTCCACTAGTTAAAACTTTAGTTTCTCGTAAATTTGAACACATTCCCACTATACATGTTATCGAGCGGAACACGGCATTAAAGATTGCCAGGCTCATAATCTTAGTCTGCTCAAAAAAAAGAGAGAAAGCTGATAATGGCTCTTGTTCGACTTTCTCGACATTCGAACAGATTAAAAAATAACTTTTACATTATTAGAGGAACCGGGGCGGAATGGGGTAGCTAGCGAAGAAATTAAAATTTTGTCAACAATAAAAGAAAAATAATATAAATATTACATTATATCCTTTATTTATTATATTTGGCACATAATTATTTAAATTAGATTTTAAAAAATCAATAATTTTGTATGAAAAATAAATCATTTAAATAAAACTTGCCCACATCCCGTTCCGCCCCTCACTCGGGGTATGAGATTAGTGCTCAAATATTAGAAAAAATATATATATATTAGTCTTGTTGCTTACAAAAATCGCAAACCAGCAAGGAATCGCCATCGTCGCTGTCAAAACCCGCACAAGTCACATGAGCCCATTTTTTGCATGCGACATATGAACATTAACCCTCAATCGACTGTGAATAAGCTCGGTGCAGTAAAGGCAAGTCGTATCATCATCTTTTTCCGAGTAATCGTCCCCTTGTTCTTTTTTACTAAACTTTGTTTTTTCCCTTTCCTTTTACTTTTCCTTTACGGGAAACAGTCCCATTGTGCCCCACCCGTTCTGCCCCAAAGCACATGCTTCTAAAAATCAAGTAGAGAAAAAAGTTTATGACTACTTTTTGCGTTATTTAAGTCTAAAAATACAAACAAACAAATCTTTAATAAACTAGACTATATAAATTTGGTTAAACTTATACTTTCATTGTTTTAATGTTGATACACTTGTAATTTCATCAAAAAATCACGACGCAAGGTTTTATTGGTCATCTCGGTAATCAAGTATTCACACTGACGTGTTGTCGCACTCTGAGTGTAGGACAGGGAGCGAACCAATTCCCTCACCTCTCTTTCAAATGTAAATCGACTTTCCCATTCCGCTCCGGGTTCCCCTAATTGTTATAAAATGGCAAAAAGCTTAAATATGAGTTTTTAACTATTTTGTACAACGAGTAAAACTTTCATTAATTCCGACCCCAGTCGACATATGACATGCGATCCCATCTATCTCCCCCCCATTCCAGTTCCGTACTCCAAAATTTAATAGTATGAATTTTAATTATAGTATGAATAGTCTCTCCGGAGAGCTAAATTTGATACGATTACAATACTTCCTACAACAACTCATAAATACAGTAAAACACAACTCTGTATAATTATATTATAAATGATTCATTGTTATAAATTTGAAGTCTTAAAAAGATTATAGAATAAAGCATACAATTTAAAGTATAACAATAATCATTTTTTGACATTATTAAATACGTTTTTATTTTTCAAACGAAAATAGTATTATGAACAATTAAATTCAATCGAATATTTTTGATTTAGCATAAAACAAATCCTTTGAATTCAGCCGATTGTAACAGAACTAAACAACGGTGTATCCACTTTCAGATTTTTCTGTATCCATCCGGTTTTACAGTATAATAATAGTTGGAAAACAAAGTTTTTCAATGTAAATTTCGTAAATAACAATTAGTTGTTTACGAAATTAAGTAGAATAATTCACAAGACCATTTCAATTTCCATGTATTAAAAAAAGAAAAATTGGATATTAAATAATGTTTCAGTTTGTATGTGTTGGTAAACACAGAAGTGGAAAACAAAGAACAGTATGTTTTTAGAGGGAAGTTTAAAAGTGGTTTCGGATATGATTTTTTGGCCACATTTCTAAAACGAAGCTAAATTACAAACACGTTTATACGGGATTTTAAACCTTATCTTTTGACCCTAGAATCTATCGCTAAAATATGGTACGGAGTACGTTACACATTGTATATATATAATATATATACAATGTGTAACGTACTCCGTATATATATAATATATATACAATGTGTAACAATATACGAGGAGTGTTTTTTAAGTAAGTACCGTATTAAAATAGGACCGCTGCAGTGCTACGATTGGTGTTCCGCGAATGTGCGCTGAGTACCTACATCTGTTGGCTAGCCACAGACGCAATTACGGAAGCATTCGTTTGTTTGTGCGTGTTTAAAATGCCTCAGACATTTAAAAATCTCGCCGATTAAGAAGTACGCGCGGCTATTCGTTTTCTTAATGCAAAAGACGTGAAAGCGGCTGACATTCATAGTCAGATTAGTGAAGTGTATGGAAAAAACATTATGAGCGATGGAATGGTATGAAAATTGGTTAGAGCACTTAAAGATAGCAGTACTAACAGCCATGACGAGGAGCGTAGTAGGAGACCGTCTGTTATTACTGAAGACTTGGTGCAGAAAGTTGTTGCAAAAGTTCGAGAAAACAGACGCTTTACGATTTCGTTATCCAAAGCAAAAGGCATGGCAAGCTCAGTAAGGAGATTGTTTTGCTTTCACGACAGTGCCTGTCCACACATGGCTCAACGAACTCGAAATCTTATCACATCATATGGCTGGGAACAACTTGATCACCTTACTTATAGCCCTGATCTAGCGACTAGTGACTACCACTAGTTGCTAGATCAGGGCTATAAGTAAGGTATCTAGTTGTTCCTCCAAGGTATCTAGGCAGCCAGCGCTACTACGACGATGATAATGTCAAAACGCCGTGATGCAGTAGTTGGCAAATTAGGCGGCAGGTGTCTATGAGGATGGAATTCAGAAGCTAGTTGTATAATATGTAAAGTGTCTTCATGTTGGAGGAAATTATGTTAAAAAGTAGCCTACATTAAGGTACAGGCTTTCATGTAAGAATAAAATTATTTTTAAAAATGCAGTTGTGTGTTTTTAATATCAACACGGTACTTACTTAAAAAACACGCCTCGTATATATATATATATACGAGGCGTGTGAGCAAAGTTCGTGTGAGCAAAGTTCAACTTTGTGGCGCAATATTTAAAAATCGTCTTAAATGAACTAAAACTGACTTATGTACGTAATCAGCGCAAAAATCTAAGTAAGAATTTTGTTTTTTTTTTAAGAATGTTTGAAGAAATTTGAACAAGTGCAACCTAGATGTTCACAAAATACAAGAATTTCACTCTGCTTTAAAAATAAATACCAGGGCTGCGCTCTGACACAACTACAGCGCTGTTTGTAAGCTAAAATTAATAAAACTTTGCATCTTAAAGTGGCTGGTGAACGTAAACACAAATCCTCCTTTTCCATTAAAACTTCCTAATATACAATACACCTGTTTTCTACTAAATCTCTTAATTATATTGATGAGTAATTCGTATCAAATAATATCGGTAAGTCCGATTTTCAACTTAAAATATATTTTTCTCGTTCTAAATTGAATTTTGTGTTATTAGGCGAGAGCTGATACTGAATGGAAATTTGCAAGAACAAAGTTATTTATGGATTATTTCGAAAAAGGTAATACTGTACCACCTCCATTCAACATTCTTCCCACGGTAAAAATATTAATGAAATTATGCAAATCAAAAAACATGGATGATGCTGAACAAGGAAATAAAGTGAGCATTTTAGTTTTATTGATTTTAGATGATAAAAATAAATAAATAATTATATGCTTTCAAGCTTAAATATGAGCTCGAATAATAAGTTATAAGAAACGAGCAATTCTTTATTGTGTATTGTGACATCGTCATAATGCCGGACTGCGATTTTTAATCATATTCTTGATTTTTCAATTCAATATATATGTTCTCCATCTCAAATTTATAGTGTCTTGCCCCTGTGCATTGTTTTCCTGATAAGAGCACAGTCATGCCAGTCATCTATATAATTCCATTCAGGGAAAATTTTTTAAATTGAAGTCACGTGATTTCCTATTTAGAACGGA